GGGATATGGAAAACATACTGTTTTTTTACTTGTATTCATTGTAATCATTGAAAAATAGAATGTAACCACATTGTAATTTTTATGTTGCTTGAAGGATTCTACTGGGGTATATAAGCTGTAAAGAAAAAAAAATAGACATGAGAGAACAAAAAAACTTGAAAAGATGTAGAAGGAAAATTAGAAGAAAGACATTGAGACAGAAGAGACATATCTAGATAGAGGTAAAAAAAAAGAAAGAACAGAAAGAGAAGATGATAAAAAGACCGTAAGGGTGTGTGTGTCCCCCCTCTTTTTTTTTTTTTTTACTGTCTCCAGAGAATTAATTTTTATTCCCTTAGATAGAAAAGTCTAGTTGAGTGATAGTTTGTAGACTCTGCTGGGTCCCTTAAACCTTGAGCTGCTGTATGTTGGTCCTCACAGCAGTGGTACAAGCCCATAGCCAACATCAACTTAAATGGAGAGAAACTAAAAGCAATTCCACTAAAATCAGGAATAAGACAAGGTTTTCTACTTTCTCCACATCTATTCAATATAGTACTAGAAGTTTTAGCTAGAACAGTAAGATAACTGATGAATATCAAGAGGATACAAACTGGAAAGAAAGAAGTCAAAGTATCTTTATTTATATGGTAGTATACATAAGTGGTCCTAAAAATTCCACTGGGTGACTCCTATAGCTGATAAACACTTTGAGCAAAGTAGTTGAATACAAAATTAAGTCACAAAAATTAGTAGCCCTCTTATGTAAATGACAAACAGACTGAGAAAGAATCCAGGGAAACATCACCTTTCACAATAGCCTCAAATAATATAAACTAGCTCGGGTAAATATAATGAAACAAGTAAAAAACTTGTATGATGAAAACTTCAAGTCTTTGCAGAAAGAAATTGAAGAAGCATCAAAATATGGAAAGATTTCCCATGCTTATTGATTGGTAGAGTTAACAGTAAAAGTGGTCTATCCAAAATCAATCTATAGATGCAATTCCCATTAAAATTCCAACGCAATTCTTCACAGATGTTTAGAGGACAGTTTAGCTTCAGATGAAAAAAACAAAACAAAACAAAACAGGATAGATAAAACAATCCTCAACAGTAAAAGAACTGCAGGAGGTCTCACCATTTCTGATTTCAAGTTGTACTATAGTAATCAAAACAGCATGATATTGGCATAAAAACAGACATGTTGATCAATGGAATTGAATTGAAGACCCAGACATAAATCCACACACTTATCAAACCCAATTTTTGATAAAGAAACCAGAAATACAGAGTGGAAAAGGAAAGCATTTTTAATAAATGGTGCCGTTAGATCCATATCTATCACCTTGCACAAAATTCAAGTCGAAGTGGATCAAAGACCTCAACAAAAATCCAGATATACTAAACCTGATAGAAGAGAAAGTGAGGAATAGCCTTGAACACATTGGCACAGGAGACAATTTTCTGAACAGAACAATAATATCATAGGCACTAAGATCAACAATTAATAAATGGGAACTTATGAAACTGAAAAGCTTCTATAAGGCAAAGGACATTGTCAACAGGACAAAAAAGGCAGCCCACAGGATGAGAAAAAGATTTCCATCAACTCCACATCTGACAAAGGGCTAATATTCAAAATATATAAAGAACTCAAGAAACTAGACATTAACAAAATAATAATCCAATTAAAAATGGGCTACAGTTCTAAACAGAGATTTTTCAACAGAGAAATCTCAAATGGCCAAGAAACATTTCAAGGAATGTTTAACATCCTTAGCCATCAGGTAAATGAAAATCAAAACAACTTTGAGATTCCATTTTATACTTGTCAAAATGGGTAAGATCAAAAACACATGTGACACCTCATGCTGGTGAGGGTATGGAGTAAGGGGAATACTTCTCCACTGCTAGTGGGAATACAAACTTGTACAGCCACTTTGGAAATCAACATGGTAGTTTTTAAGAAAATTGAAAATAGATCTACCTCAAGACCCATCTATATCTTTCCTGGTCATATTACCCAAAGGACACTCTACCATTCCACAAGGACACTTGCTTAACTGTGTTCAGAGCAGCTGTATTCATAGTAGCCAGAAACTGAAGACAACCTAGACATCCCTAAAATGAAGAATGGATTAAAAAAAATGTGGCAAATTTACACAATGGAGTATTACTCAGCTGTTTATAACAAAAAATGACATCATGAAATTTGTAGGCAAATGGATGGAACTAGAAAGAAAATCATCCTGAGTGAGGTAACCCAGACTCAGAATGATAAAAATAATATGTATTCACTTATACATGGATATTAGCCATTAAATAATTATTACTAATCTACAATCTGTGGACCCAGAGAGGTTAGATATAGAGGAAGGAACTAAGGGAGGATGCAAAGATTTCCCTGGAAAAGGGAAATAGAATAGAGTTTAGGGGTAGAATGGGGGCAGGTTGGGACAGGAACAAGAAGGATCAGGCTGGGGGATGGGTGGGATAGAGGGAAAGAGTGTGCGGAAAGATGGCTGGAATTGGGGGTAGTTGAAGGGTGGTATGGAAATCTAGTGTAGTGGAAAGTTCCTGGACTCTATGAAGGTGATTCTAATGAGGACTCCTAGCAATGGGGGATGTGGAGTCTCACTTGGCCATCTCTTATAGCCAGGTAAGGCTTCCAGTGGTGGGACTTGTTTACATTTAATTGAACTGTTGGCTGAGGGGTCCCATGGAAATTCCCAAACAACCCAGGCTGCTACTAGGTCAAAATGTTGCTCTCCATAAACTGACAGCTGGCCTCCATTGCCAAAGACTACATCCACACAATTCATTGAACACAGAGAACTGGTGTTTACATGGAGCCTTCACCCCTAAACTGCAGTTTCTTTGGTTCAAAAAGGTGTTCTGCAAGCTACCAAAAGAGAAATGTTGACACCAACCCAGTCATGAAACCAAACTTATGGGAGTAGACAACCAATGTGTGATTTGACTTAAGGCCAACTCTAGGAGAAGAAACCCATATACCACTTGGGTAAACAACAACCAGAAACTAGATAGGCCAGTGACCTAGGATAAAACCAAATACTATTGGCCTAAAAATCCCAAGAGTAACACTAATGATATTCTGCTATACTCATAGATCAGTACCTTATTCAGCCATCAAGGAGGCGTCTTCCTCCACCAGATGGGAACAAATACAGAGACCAACAGCCAGACATTATGCAAAGAGAGAGAGAGAGAGAGAATTCCACACCCCTAGGGTTAAAGGAACCTCGCAGAAGGAGTGTTGAAACTAGAGAAGATAGAGAACAAGGCTCTGTAAATCAACTGAGCAAAACTTGTATGAACTCACAGAGAGCAGAAAGTACTGGGCCCACACGAGTCTGCACCAGATCCTCCGCATATACACTATAGACTTCAGTTTACTTTTCTTATGGAACTCCTCATGGTGTGAACAAATGGGTATCTGATTCTTATGCCTTCTCTCTCTCTCTTTTTTTTTTCCCCGTCTGTTGATTTGTCTTGTCCAACTTCGATAAGATGGCTTTTGTTTTATCTTATTATATTTTACTTTGTCATGTTTGGTTGTTATCTCTTAGAAGCCTATACTTTTCTAGCAAGAGACAGAAAGGGAGTAGATCTAGAGGAGAAGGGAGGTGGGGGAGTAGCTGGGAGGAGTGGAGGGAGGGGAAATTATAATTAGAATACATTGTACTAGAAAAGAATCCATGTTTAATAAAAGGGGAAAAGAAAAAGGAAAAAAAAACCATAAGTATAGACAGGGAATACTGCTCCACAGGTAAAAGAGCTTGCTGTGTGCATGCTGAATGACTTGAATTTGGATCCCTAGAATCCATTCAGAAGCTGGTTGTGGCACATGTTTGTAATGCAGCATTCCTATAATAAGGTAAGAGGCAGATATCTTACAGTACATGCCACACCAGCAAGCAACAAGAGAGACTCTGCCTCAAAACAAAATGGAAGCTAAGAACTCCAACCTCCACATGTGTGCTCTGATACACACGTCCTCACACATAAACACATACCTACATATGATTCACACACAAACACACACACACACACACACACACACACACACACACACATTTAGAAAAGAAATACTAAGTTTTATTAAAGTAGTATAGGTGGAAGTTTCTGTCCTGCCAGCAACTCCCAAATACCCAGCAGCCACTTCAAAAATTACCACATAGAGGCTTATATTAATTATAAATGCTCAGCCAGTAGCTCAGTCTTATTACTAACTAGCTCTTACACTTAAATTAACCCATAATTCTTATCTATGTTTAACCATGTGGCTTGGTACATTTTCTCAGTATAGCATTCTCATCTTGCTTCCTCTGTGTTTGGCTGGTGACTCCAGACTCTGCCCTTCTCCTTCCCAGCATTCTCAGTTTGGTCACCCCACCTATACTTCCTGCCTAGCTACTGACCAATCAGCATTTTATTAAACTAGTTAGAGTGACAGACCTTTACAGTGTGCAAGAGCATTATTCCACAGCAAAGGAGTTAATGTTTTTTTAGAATAGTAATTGATCTAGCAGAAGCTTGCAAATGTTGAACAGAATTCCCAGGAACCCAGGTGTTGCTTCCCCTATTAATAACATCTGACATGGTTATAGTATATTTGTAACAATTGGTGAACCAGCATTGGAACATCAGTGCTGAATGTCACAATTTATTTATATTTCATTAATTCATTTTTTACCTAAGGTCCTTTTTCTATTACAGTACGCCATTCAGTCTACTGTGTTCTATTTATCTGCCATGACTCCTTGGGCTCCTTTTGGCTGTGACAGTTTCTTTAGGATTTCCCTGCTGTGTGCTCTATTCTTCTACAGATTCCTTTTATCGTATATTGTAAGTGCCCTCTGGGCCTGAAGGTCTGATCCTATGAGCCTAGCAGGTGTGGTGGTAATATCAGGACTTAAGAGTACTGGTGTCATCATGACACTACTTTTTTCATATAAGTGAGGTTTTTGTTTTATCTTTAGATTTATCTTTTTCAGTTTTGATGGCTGGGGAAGATAGAGTTTGAGGATGGGAGTAATTCTGCATCTTTCACCTATAGACCTACACTAAGAGGTGAGCTTGTCTTGATGATACAACCCTCTACCTCCTTAAAGTACCCACACGACTGTAAAAAAATCATATGCAACATCTTTTTTTGGGTATTCACCACAAACCATAATTATGAATAGGATAAAAACTGGAAGTGAATTATATTGGCAAGTAAGTAATTGGTGCCCTCTGAGGAAAGTTGACATTTCTCACTGAGAATTTCTTATTGGCAAAGTCAGTTGAATGAAGGGTGGGCTAGAAGCAATCTAATAGGCATTTCCTGCAACTTCCACACTAGCTCTATATCCTGGAATGTGTTTTCAGGACCAAAGGTAGCCTGGAATGTGTTTTCAGGACCAAAGGTAGCCTGGTGTGATTCCTTTCCACCACGGGCAACTCTTACTGTGGCAAATCAATGTAAGTGCTTTATTGAGTGATGGTTTCTAATAGTAGAAATTTCTTACAAATATTAGTTGAAAAATAGTTTCAAGCATTAGCATTTATCATTTCTCTTCATTTTATTCTCGTCCTCTTCCTCTGTGTTCGAGCATGTATAAAATTGATTTTCTGTGCTGTGATTTGTGTGCATATATGTGTATGTGTATGAATGATAGGTCTGTTATGGAATAGAAATGACCTGAAAGAGTTGTTTGATTTTGTCTATGGATAGCTGAGTCCTAGAAGAAAAGCTTCACTGAGTTGATTAATGTCTGCCCACTAAAACCAGTGTTAATCCAGAACCTCACTATGTGGTTTCAATGGGAAACAAGGCTTTTGCAGATGTAACTTGCTAGGAAGAGTTCATACTTGAATAAGTTCAAAGACTAGTAGGTATCCTTAGAAGAGAACCCAGAGACATAAAGACACACAGAGAAGAAGGACAGCCATGTGAAGGTAAAGGCAGAAACTGGAGAAATGAGGCTGTAAGTCAGAAAACCAAGGGTGTTGGAGACCACTAAATGTGGGACCAAGCAAGAACAAATCTTCCCCTAAAGCTATTAGAAAGAGTTTGGCTTTGCTAAAACCTCAGTCTGTACCTTAAGCTTCCATATAAAGAGAGAAGAAAGTTTTATTGCTTCTATGCCCAGCTTCTGGAATTTTGTTGTAGTTCTTTGAAAAGGACACAGAGGCCACTAATAAATACTCAATTGTCTTGGCCAAAAATGTGACAGGTGGAAAATTTGTAATGAGAAGTGAGATGTAAAGAGGCCAACAGCAGAGAAGAGGTATTCCCTTGTATCACTTAGGAGTCTTGTGAAAAACAGAATGGGTAGGTAGATAATAGATGATAATAGGTAGATAGGTAGATTATATATATATGGAGTTTATATTCAGAGTGACATGCTTTCTCAGGAAATTTTGGAAAACAAACCCCACCAACCAAGTCCTCATCATAGTATTACTATAGAACTAGGCACACAAAGATGCTGAGGCCAGCAGATTAAGATATAAAATTCAGTAGTGCCAGACTGACTGGGTCACAAAGAACATCATTGGGCTGAAATGCATGAGGATGCGGTGCCTTTGGGAGACCCTAGAGCCAGGAGAGAAGCTTTTAGTAAGTGCCTGCTCATCTTTTCTGGATAATTTTCCTCTCAATGGTCTAGGGGCCATGGAAAAATAGAGGCTTTGGCGTCCAGAAGGCTGGGATTTGAATCCTAATTTGGTCACCAACTGGGACCTTGAATCAATTATTTGATGTCTTGGTTCTTAAAACTGTTAGTTTTCTTACCCATATTTTTATTTTCAGCTGGTTCATATCTTATGACTTTATATCCTGGCAAGAGTAAGACATTTTGAGGGACATTTCCCCCAAATGACACAGCCAGTCAGCAATGATTAAACTGGACACTGTTTGGACATCAAATTGCTGGAAGAACATTAAAGAAGCAATTACTTAACAAATTACTGAGCATAGGAACAAAGGCGTGAAGGATAAGGACGGCTGAAGGAAGACAAAAAAGACAGCAGAAGCTTCAGCATTTGCTACCTCTCCTCAGGTAAGATTCTTAAATGAAAAGGCTCAATTGCCTGTGGCTTCTGAGGCCATAAATTGTGGCCACTTGTAATATCAAACTTTCTTGAAAGGTCATTGAAAACAGGATCCTCTGTCACACTGTGGCTGGGGTTACCTGGGGGAAATCACACCTTTGCAGTCTATATAAAGGAAACTAGAGAAATGAGTAGGGCATGAGTGAGTGGCAGTTTCTTAGACAATCAGCGAGGGAAAATGGTTCTGGCTGTTTTGGAGCACATTCCTTTGGGCTTCCGTGACCACCTGACGAGGCCAGCTTAGGTTGTATCACAGCCTTCTCGTACTGGCAGACCCTTCTGTCGCTAGTGCCTTATGATACAATGCTGCTGCCCAATCATCACTCACATCCTGACATAAGAGCGTATGAGAGCTCATTTATTTTGACTTAGGGATCAGTGTCAGCAAAGAGCTAAGAAGAGTATCTGGCCTGACTCATTCAGGTTATAGATGAGGACCTGGAGACTTGAAGAGGAGGGAGGATATTTTTCATAAGCCTTTTGCTTCCTTGTTCTGTGGCTGCCAGGCTGAAGCCAGCTTCAAGCTCGCCACTGTGCCCAACACTCACCTCTCAGGTCGCTGCGGAAAAATGACATGGTATCTAGCTGAGATGTAACTGTCAAAGGGAAGGACTAATGGGTCTTTTGGTATATTTGTTTATTCTTATTCCTTTCCAGAAAGATTCACCGAGATTCTTCAACGAATCCTCCCTCTTCCTTTCAAGCCAGATTAAGAAGACAATAATGAAGACCTAGTCTCTGGTAATTTCAGAGTGCTTTCACATGGACTGTGGATTTGCATCTTCACATGGAGGGTTGTATTGAACAAGTAGATATCTGTTTTGTAGACAGATAATCCTCTAGGAGTGGCACACAGTCAGGTGTATCATTTTTAACCTTAAATGAATCATCTCCTTATATTTCCTATCCATCTAAGGAGATCCACCAAGTCATCTAGAAGAAATCTGAAGGTCTCTTATTTTCTACCTCTCACACCCACATAGAGCCAGCCCCCTAGCCCTTCTTCTTCTTCTATCATAGAGGAAATAACATCTCCCATATGAGAGGCATATTGCATTGCTTGGCCACTGGGCATCACATACACTTTTGAATGGCACCAACTCTCATATTTTTTCTTCAATAACAGACACATAGCATTTGTAAAATGAAAATCTAAAACTGAAAATGTTTTTAGAACCTGAAACTTGCTAGCATGATGTCTGTTCTAATGTGACACATCTTGAGGAAAACATAGGTACACTAAAACATTCCAAAAATTACTACTGGGCTATATGTACAATAGTGTATATGAAATATGAATGATTTTCCTTGAGTCTCCTCCCCAAGATATCTCAGATGGGCAACTATTCTAACATCTGAAAAGGCCAGTATCTAAAATCTGTAGGCCTGTAGGTGAGGTATTTTGGTTAAGAAATAGTCAACCTGTTTGGGACAGGCAAAAGGAAACTTTAAAAAAGACAATTTCACTAAACTACACTTACCTTTTGCTTTTGTTTCAGTAACATTTACCAAATCTTTCTTAAAAATCTGATTAAATGATTCTAATAATAACAGTATGATATTGGACTTTCTCCTTACAACTATTACTGCTTGTTCATATTTATAGATCACTTCAAATGAATATTCTTTGTTTCTCTATTACTCCCATTTTATAGATGAGGAAATTGAGGATCAAAGACTTTAGGTGAAATGGCTTTCATGTATCCCCTGGAGCACTTTGCACAGGTACTCCGTAATGTATTTACGGTTGAAGCACACTCACTCCTGGGTCTCTTTTTGTACTTAATATTTGAATTAACCAGTTTTTTTTTTCCTTCAGAGAAGTGCACACCATGAAAACATGCCTCTGGGAATGCAAATTGCCCACTCAATGGATTAAGCAACCACAAACAAATGGAGATTCACACAGATGTAATTAAGAATAGAAAATACAAACCTATGTGCAGAACCATGATTTACAGTCAAATTCACCTCCCTTGAAAGCTCATATTAGATTGCTCTCGTTTGATTACCAAGCTGCTGTTTCAATGCAAAGCATATGCTTGCAGATCCCCAGGTTTGCCCGCCTTAAGAATTAGCTAATAACTTTGAAACAAACCTTTAAGGAAGTAGAGGTTTATGCCTTGGCAATGCAAACATGTACAAGTGAAAATATATGCATCTCAACTGGTTATTTCTGTAGGGAAGACAAATGTGTAAAAATATGTTTACCAGGAGAAAGTTTCTGGTTTTGAGTATTTGCCAAATGTTACACAAATAATTAGTGATGTCGTGAAGTGCTTGGCAGGTCCTCCAGGACTTCTGTCGTTGGTATGAAATCTGCTCATTCTTCAGTGTATGGAAAACTATGATGCTTTACAGTACTCATAGGACGTAGTTGCTGGCTTCTCTTATATAACACATTGCTACACTTTTATTCTTCTTACCATTTATCTGAGAACCTGAAAAAAATGATGTCTGAATCTTTTGGAAAAGCCCCAACTTTACTATTCCAATCTATGAACTCGGGATCATGAAGCAACCTGTAATTTTCTTCACATCCTCATGGTCATTGTCACCATCCCTCTGGTGTTTTTACATCTGTGTGTGTGTGTGTGTGTGTGTGTGTGTGTGTGTGTGTGTGTGTGTGTGTGACAGTTCTAACATCAGACCCGAAAGGAAAATTAAAGTGATTGAACACCCTCTCATATTCCAACTTCTAAAAAAGTGGGGGAATATCTAGAAAAAAATTTCTCCAGCCCACTTTCTAGACTCAATGGCTTTTATTGATCCAAAGAAGACCCTGCCTCACCAATAGGGGCATTTAGAATGTGGGTTAATGGTGTTCATCACTTTGACCCCAAAGCAGTAGCACCTAAGATCTTAGGAAAGTAGCATTCCCACTGAGTCAGGCTCATCAGGGGCCGTGGCACCACTCTGGTGATGCTCCACACCAGGGCTTTTCCAGTTGAGGGGAACCTGGTCTGAGGCCTGGGAGGAGTGTCCTAAGGGTCACCAGGAGGAATGTCTTGAGTAGGAGCCAAATTGCAGACTTTTGTTTGAAATTTATTCTAGTCACAGAAATTATGTTGGAAGAAGAAGGCAAAAGGCCAGTGCTGAGCTAGAGTGGCAAGTCCAAACCAGCCACAGTTGTGATGGAGAGAAAATCCAAACTGAAGAGAAGAATATGTCAGGAGCAGGAGGCGTGGATAAGGCAGCCCCCAAAGAGCCGCTTGCTTATGTGTCTCAGAGGAGGCACAGTGGCAGAGTGAGGCAGAGCAGCCAGACCCCATGTGGAATCTGAGTTGGCAGAGGAGGTCCAGTCCACTGCACAGAGCCCACCAGACTGACCAAAGGCCCTAGGAAGATTGAATTTGGTACCACGCTCTGTTCAGATCTCCAAGTCATGATTCTAGACGAACAGCCATTTCCCAGACTCTCACCAACACTGGCCCAACTCTCAGAAGACTGGTAAAATAATATAGCACAGCACGCCACAAAGGGGAGAGGATTGGGAGCTGAGCCAAGGAGACAGGATCGCATGCAAGATGCGACATCTACCCTTAGAAAACAAATATATTGATTACAGCCATGGCGGTGAAGAAGTGGGTGCGGTGTAAGAGGAAAAAACCTCACAACAGAACCTAAAAAAACCGTCATGCAAATAAGGGCCCATTATTTCCCCTCTGCATGAAATGACTGGCTTTGAGTTTTAGCATGGGAGAAGCCAGATGGCGGCAGACGGGCTTATTATAGAAAGTCCACTTGTACTGAAGTTTTCTCAGCACTCTGTGCCTTGCTGAGTGAGGTTTTGTTTTGTTTCATTCCTAAGTGTAGGGCAGGCAAGTACCAAAATTTGTATACAATCTGAAACCTTTTCATGGAAATGTTCTATTCAATACCTCCGATACGTGATATACGATGCCACCACAGGAAAACTAGTGTTGCTACAGACGTTAATCATAATTATGAAAATTTTTAATTTAAATGTAGGTCTGAACACACAAAATACAGTGCACGGCCATCTGTTAGTTTTCCATCTGGGCTCATTTGCAAAATACATTCTGTTTCCCTCCCCCCTCTATTTATAATCTTCCCTGGAAAACAAATATGCCTAATCTATGGCATGCCAGAGCTGAAGTTAGCTATTTACAAGGGGCTTTTAATAGACATGGTTACACAGTTGAACGCAGTTAACAGAAACTTCAACTTCTCTCTTTCTCTTGCTTGCCCTTCTTGGTGGGACGCCTCCTTGGATTTTGTCAACAAGCTCTTCTTTTGAGGGTCCCCTTGTAAAGAACAACCTAACTTTTATGTAAGGAATATGATGTTAAAAATAACATCTGCAACTCAAGAGCTGCAATATTCATTATTATAAGAAGAACCAAGGGAGGGGTTATCAGCTGAAGGGTAGACAAACCACTGTGATATACCCATGCATGGCATATTATCCAGACATCAAAAGTGTGGAAGTGTGGATACAAATCTCAACATGGATAAATGGTGAAAACCATGCACAGGATGAAAGAAGTTTCACATGAAAGCTCACATATTGCAAGAACCACTCACATGAAGTTTCCAAAATAGGCAAATCTGTAGCTGTTACTGATTGTCTAGGGATGGAGCATGAGATCATGAGAAATGAACAGCAATTGCTGTTAGATTTCTTTTGGGGGTGATAAAAAACACTCTAAAATTAGATTATGATGATTCCCGTAGAACACATACAAAAATATTGAAATGTATTCTTTAGACTGTTAAATTTCATGATGCCAATTATATCCCAATAAAGGTGTTAGAAAGAAAACTGCAAGGAGATACAGAAATCACTGGCCCATGTTTTTAAAGTCTAGAGATGCTGCTTAGGTCCTGGGGGATGACGGTTACTATCCAGTTGGTTAGTGTTAAGATTTCCAGTCCTCTAATCAAGGGTTCTTCCTAATACATAATGCTGTGTGGCACCAGTTAATCCACTTTGGCTCATGCTTTACTATGAGCAGGTAAGGACTGAAGGAGAGACATGAGTGGGAATATCAGTTATGAACGACTATAATGAAATCAAAGGTGAGGCAGGCTTCAAAAGCCTGTGGTGGCAGCGAAGCTCCAGCAGCAGAGATGGACACAGCAGAACTTTGGGAGGTGAAATATCCACAACTGGTATCTGACTGATCACAGCTGGGGAAGATGCGGAGGAGGAGGAAGACGGTGGTGATCAAGAAGCCTAGAGGAAGTCAGAAATGGGAAAGGAAGCTGAGTTTAAAACTTCACAGGAATCTTGAGTTCTCCATAGGTAGGCATTTACCAAGTGGCCATGCCTGGTCTAAATCCTGAGGAGTAGCAGGGTACATAACACAGACACCTAGGCGGCATCTCCTCTGATGGGACTCCATCTCCACCAGCAAACTCAGCACCAGAGATGAAGGGGCTCTGTTGTGTAAGATTAGTTAAAATCCTTGAGTAGATGCAACTGCTGTGGAGAAGCAACCCAGGACATCAGGTGCCAGGAAGGAGTGGGGATGCTGGACCTCCAGTGTGTAAGAGCAGACGGAGACAGAGAGTGAGAGGGGAGAGGGAAGACACAGTCTAAAATAAAGGTGGGAAATCCAGTCAGGACAGGCTTAACGGGAACTCGGAAGCAGGTCTACCGGAAGCCAGCCAGAGGCTCTGGGGTGGATTTTGCCACTTGAGGCTTCCTCCGTTGTTGGATTTCTTAGTTTTCATAGGCAGTGAGTGGACAATTCAACAACTTGAGTCAGACAAAAGCTCTGACTCTGGAAATTAGGCAAGATGAGCAAAAAAAAATAAAATCTACAAGAATCAGACTGATGAGATGAGGCAGAGTGAATGGCATTAAAATATGGAGGAAAGCAGCTGGGAACTTGAATGAGGCTGTCGTGACAAACTGTGTATGAGAAGGAAAATATGTCCCCACAGGATTTCCTGTCACAGTAGGCATGAAAACATAACCTGCATTTGGTTTGTTGTTTGTTTGTTTGTTTGTTTGTTTGTTTGTTTGTTTTTTAAATGCATTTGGATCATGGCGGGAGGGGAAGGGTGAGTGTGAACTTGGGTCTCAGCTAATAAATCAATCTCATTGGCTTTCAGGCTAACTTGATTCTGTACTGTACAGCCTTGGAAAGTTTTAGCCAAGAATAAGAGCCAACAAAGGGCTCCAGTGTTGGTGGTTGCCAGAGTCCGCAGGTGTATGCCTCCCCTACCATACTGTTATTCTGGGGTTGGGGAACTGTACATTTGTTGGTTTATTTACCAGGCTGACTCCTAGTAGTTCATAGAAAGGCAGGAAATGTGTGTTTATGTACCCTTGATGAGTTGTTAAGTCTCAGAGAGAGACAGGTAGAGCAACTCTTTCTGAATCATGTGGTCAATGGTAGGGAAATGGTAAGAGAAAGGTAGATCCAGTTGTGCCAGAGGTAGGGAAAGTCAGGTGGAGGTAGGTATTTGTAGAGGAAGTACACCTGGGTTGACCCCTGAGGAGTACCAGGTTTTCTACAGACTGGGAACGGAGTGTCTGGAAGGACTGTGCATCCATCCCTGTGTGCAGAGCACAAGCAAAGGACCTGAGGCATAAGCAGGTATACACATGTGGAGGAAATACCAGCATTTGGTAGTGACTTGAGGGTCTGCTGTGGAATTGGATGAGACAGGAACTCTTCCTGGAGATGTCTGCAGGGAGAGATCATGGAATGTCACTCACATCGTTCCTCATCCAGCCTATCTGAGTTCTAGTATTCTCTCAAGAACACTGAGGCCAATCCTTGAGTCTGGAAATGTTTGGAACACAGACAAGGAAAGGAAGAGAAGTCAAGAGAGGCTAAGCCAATGAAGGGAAGGTGTGTGCTACTAGGCTGACAGGGCATTTAGGCATCAACTTGTGTTTCCTGTGTGGGGGTGAGGCAAGGCTTTCTCAGGGGTAGGAAGTTGGCCTTTCCTCTCTAT